TAAGATTACTGTAAATAATAGGATTAGTAAACGCCACGAGGTATCATCCTCGCGGTTTTATTTAACATAACATGCGTGTTTTGAGTCAATTGCAAGATATAATTGTCGACTTTTATAATTGTTAAAGAAAGAGCTTAATTATAAGTTTTCTTTAATTAACTAAATTAAAGAAAAAAATTCACTCGCTTAGATAGGAAACAAACGTTCAATTTGTTGAACGACTCATGTCATGAACATTCAAGCTCAATCTTCTGATTTACATTTATTTATATCTTTCTCATTATTATTATTACTGTAATCGCGTGCTTTCGAGTGTTTAAAGCAAAGGCCCCCAGCCCAATAGCGGGTTAACATCAACCTCTACATCTATCGCTGAAGCAGAGACACACACATACATACATACATACATATGCATACACGTACACATAGATACACTGCGTATATTTTTAAAAATGAAATTTCACACATTCATTAACATAACCAGGCTTTGCTGCCATAGAAGTCACACGACAGAATTTTGCATTGATTATCACAAGAACTTGCCTGTCAATAAAAAGGAAACCTCAGTGATAAACACAAAACGATCCACCTCGTCAAGGAGAAACAATGATCACTGAACAATATGACAATAATGTTCGATTTGTAACTGATTTTAAACTTGTATAGCAAAGACTATTGGCAAGACGTGTGCAACGTCTGAAAACAAACGAAAGAAAAGAATGATAATGTGTAGCAACGCGTTGCTCGCCGAAGATTCTCGGGCCTATGTGTGTATACGTTAAATGTCACTCACTCAATTTTACTGTTTTATAAGAGAAAACAATGAAAATAACGGAACGTTAACGACAAGAGACAACCTCCATTACAAGCATGTGCGAAACTTTCCTCGGAAGCAGAGTGGAGGCACTCTCTACCTTATCGATTCTTGCATTACACCCCTTCACGAAAGGATTGGCAGAGATGCTCATCTCTGTTGTGAGAAACGAGCGGAAAAAAAAAAACAAACCTGTCATTTAGCAATACGATAACTTGTTTAAGAATCTGTCATTGAACCTCATTTTAAAGTATATTATAATTTATTTAGTGTGCACTGCGCATGATGGAACTCTTCTGTAAATATGTAATTCTCTTTTATTTCTTTTGTAATATGACAAATAAATGTTAATAAGTTATTTTCAAGGCTTAAGACCCTTTATTTGTTTGAAAAATAGAATAAATAAAATAAAAGCGTGTATAATCAAAATAGAATAAGGCCGAAATTTTGTAATAATGCTGAATAAATAATAATTACTGAATAACAATAAATATGCCACTTTGGTAATATTAGCATGATAAATAGCATAGTTAATATTTGCACATTAACCAATTATTTATTTAATTTAATGATAATAATAAATATCTAAAAAAGTACTTTTTATAAATAAAAAAATACGTATCTTACGTGCATCTAAAAAGACGTGCATTTTTGACACATCTTATATATAACAATACAGATAATTGTGGCATATTGAATATATTAAATAAGAATAACGATGATAATAAAAATATTTATATTTTCATTTACTAATTTGTACCTTAAATTCTTTATTATGACCACTTTCATAAGCAAACTGCATATATATTGTCTATGTTCATGTATGTATAATCTAAATGTATTAGGTGTATGTGGAATTTAAGCTGCTGCTGCTTCCAGAGCCTTTTGCTTCCTGAGTTCTCTGAGACGAAGTCTACGCTCTCTTTCATATTCCTTTGACCTCAAGACATCACTATAATGTATACAAATTATTATTAAAAGGTGTTTATAGAATATATTAAATAAAAATAATTTGTTAATATTTTTCAATGAAAACTTACTCATCATATTCGCATTGAAGATAATGATGTATTTCATGATAACATCTTGTTACAAGAGGAAACTTTTTTACATAACAACGTTGATAATCCAAATACTTATCAGCACAATAATCTCTTAACTTGACAGGAACTTTGGCAGCTATCAAATCTTCTTCCGGTATAGACATAACTGTAAAATAACACTTACAATTAGACATAATACATAACAATCAGACAAATTGTTTCAATTAATTATATTCTTAGCAGATAAAGAAATCATATGAAGATAGAGATATTTTATTGGTACTCAACATTTTTCTTGCTCATTACGATGTACATTTTATTTATATTCTACAATTGTAGTAATATTAACAAAACTGTTCATCAAAATCAATTGTCGAAAGTTTTATTCATACTGTTATGTCACTGATAGAGTACTTATAAAGATAAATATAATAGGAATAATATAAATTAAATAATAACAAAAAATTGACAGTGTTGAAGTACATTTTAATTGACCATGTCATTCACACAATTGTACACATATAAAATATAAAACATACAAATCAGTGATCTAAGTGTATTCATTAAAGGTTAGGTTTGTATAAAATACTTGCCTCTTTTTTTACGCTCCCCATTAAATCCAAATGCCGGATCAAATGTCGGATTTGAACCCTCTTTTGGAAATGGATCGCTACTGAATATCATTTGTAACGTATTCCCCATTTTATCAATGTATTATAAAATTATAATAGAAAGAATAATGTAGAAGCAAAAAGGAAAATTGCTACAACGTATGGTACTGACATCTAGTAACACTTACGTAATATAATGAAAAACATGCACGTAAATATGCCAAATATATAAATTCAGAATACATAAATTATATTTACTCATTATAAATATTATTTTACATGAAGGAAAAATTAATATACAAAAGTATTATATACTTTTCGGCAAGTAGTTTATTGAAATCTCACTGAAATAAATACATATGCACATTAAAAATAATTTCAGAAACAGTCATAAAATCGCTTTTCTCGGACTAAGTAAGGAATATAATAGTTTTATTTTTACATCTTCAAATAATAATGTATTTGTGTGTAGCATACATTCTTATTAACTTAACAACTGTTCATGAGTTCCATCTATGGTATAATTATGTACTTACTTCAATAAACAAAACTTTTCTTGCTTCATTTAGATCTGAAAATAATGTATAAAATAACTTAGTCATCTTCTTCTTCCATTGCTTCGGGCATTGTATTTCCTAGAACAATGTGCAAGGTTTTTTTCTTAATCAAAAACATAAAAAACACAATAATTATTTTTTTAATCAGTTACCATTTTGCAATCTTTCTTCACTAGGCATATGTCCAGCTTGTAGCAATTTGCTAAGGCGTTGCACTTCTTCAAGAGAAGAAGCATTTGTAATAGCTTCCCTTATTTTGTTACGTTCCTCTGGGGTTATCAATGGTTTATCCGTAGATATACCAGAGGTTTGTGTTTTTACTTTCTTTGCTATTTCACGAACCATTTCCTTTCCTCTCTTACTTCTAAAATATACAACTGCAGCTTCACGCTCTTTCATTTTAATTTTTCTAAAATCTAAAAGCCTCAATTGTGGAAATCTATATACAACATATTGTCTATATTGAGGCTTTGCAGATACTGGATTTTGTAGTAAACAAAGATTTGTTAAATTTTTTAATTGTGTTAGTGGTTCTAAATCACCAAGTTCTTGAATCATATTTCCAGTTAACATAAGAGTTTCCAAATTTGGAATACAATGTTCCAATCCTTCACCAATTCTGACAATACGATTATTATTGAAAAAAAGAGTTTTAATTCTTTTTAACAGAGGAAATCCATCTAATTTCCTTATATCATTATCAGAAAAATCAATAGTATCAAACTGATCCTGAAACAGGTTATTGTATTTTGTAAAATATTTTAATATAAATTTTAATTATATAAAAATATTTTAATATTTCAAAAATATATTTCAAAATAATTTTTCAAATGATATTTCAAAAATATATTTCAAAATAATTTTCCAAACAATATTTCAAAAATAATTTTTTTAAATATATCTTCCAAATGAAATAATTGATAGTTACAAATAATGATCAAAATAAAAGTATTTAAATTATTAAATATCTTCCAAACGAAATTGATAACTACAAATATAGATAACAAATTATAACAAATATAATAATAACAAATATAGATATCAGAAAAAAATTCATAAACAGAAATACACTTTAAAAACATTATAAAATTAGAATTTATTGATTAAAATACTAACCAGAGTTGCGCCCAAGTTTTCAATTGTGGGTATTTTATATCCTGCAATAATAGAGATTTGAAAAACTTTAAAAATTAGAGAATTAACAACAATTTCTAGGTTATATCTTATCAACATAATTTACTGACCTCTGAGATCTAATTCACGATCTTTTACAGGATTAATATATTGCATGGATTGTTGAATTAAATCTGGCGTTAATTTAACCATTGTTTAATAATACTGTCAAATAAACGAAATTCAACCTGATGACAATCAAAACGTACTTCCACAAGATTCTGCTGAAGTTCTATGATTGGTAGGCTTGATTTTCACCGCTATAGCACAAACCAGGTATATGAATAGACTAAGCATCCAATGTATTTTTTCGACCACGATTTCGGGGCACCGATGCCTCGTTACCATTTTCGTGTCATACCCTGTTGTACCGATTCAGCAAGTTTTGAACCGCGAAAATCAAAAAATATGGACAGTGTTGCCAGATTTGTTTCGAGAATTATTCATTGAAGGAATATAACGATTTAAAACAGAGAGTGATGAAAATTGGAATGAAGAATTTAGTGCATATTTGCCTATTACCATCTATTTAAAACTATTAGAAAAAATTGATTAAAATATGATACATTTATGAACAATATAATTAGATATGACGTTTTTTAATTTACTTTTACTTTAAATTTACTTTTAAATCTTTTGAATTACAATTTTATAATTATTTTTTATATTGCTGTACTTTTTTCGACATTCTATTAAATTGTGATCATTAGAATTAGACGACGAAATGTCAGGATTTCTCGAATTAACATTACATTAGTCTATACATTAGCAATGTTTATAATATTATAATATTATAATAGAGAATTTTTTAATTCTCTAATATTTTAAAAACTAGCCAAAGCTAAAATTTTACTTCTCTATAGTCTTTTTAAATATCACGCGATTCGTCTCTGGGACGAATTACAGGTCAATTAGTTAAATGCCAGTACAAAATAAGGATGCTGTTCAGCTCCCCTCTTCTGAGACGTTTGCTGAATTCCAGAATTTAACTGTTCGGAAGATAATTTTACGACACCTAATGTATAAAAGACAACAAATGGCAGAAATTGATATAAAAATTAGATAAGAATTACATAGTGACAATGTTCCCGATCGGCTGCTATTAGTCGAAGATGGATGTTTATACGTATATATAGATATACTTGTGCATTTGTGTGTGCTTTTATTTATTCTAGACGCTCGAATTAGGCCCGATGCAGTTACGAAAGGTCTGAAGGTGGTGGTGCTTTGAAAGAACAGAGACGCAAAGATCTTTTCTTTCATAAAAAGAAGGATAAATAAATATTATATCTCTATTCTTTCAAAAGAATCACTGTTGCGATGATTTACCGTAAATCTGGTGTCTGCATGGGGCCTAATATTAACTGCTAATTGCTTGTTCTTATTTTATATAATATATATA